ATTTATTTATTTATTTATTTATTTATTTATTTATTTATTTATTTATTTATTTATTTATTTATTTATTTATTTATTAAATGTATATCTGTTACAATGGCCAAGAGGTCACAGATTTTCTAGTCTAATATAATAATGAAGTATGGGATTAGTTAGTTCATTGCTTAATAACTTTCCCCCCCCATGTGATTGATTTTCAACATTCCAAACTGACAAATTTCCAGACATGAAGGCTCTGTTGTAGTCCTACCAGGGATACATAAAGATTCAGACCATTATTTTAAGGGAATAGAAATTGGTTTAGTAGCCAGGATGGAAGATAGAAGATTGAAGTCAGCTCCAGTGAAGGCGAATCCCCTCCCTCCTAGGATTTCTAGGAAATTTAAACTGGGAAACAGGAAACAAAATGAGATATAATGCTTGGAGTTATGCAAACTAATAATCAGAACCTGGTGGTATCACTAAAAATATATCTCAAAGCAACCCATCTGACCTTTGAAGCATATGCAAAGTCTGCAGATCCTGCCTTTTCTTGAGATTAGAGATAAAGTAAAATTTTCAAAATGCTAGCAATAAAAGGTGTACATTAGTTTTATTACTAGTACAAAAAATGTGAGCCTATGGATTGCCCAAATAATATTGCAAAGGGTTAACATTCTTCAGAATTAGCAAGCTCTGAATAAAAGAGAAATCCCAAGTCCTTTTTAGTTCATAATCAAATTGCATCAGAAAACCAGAAAAGCAGCCTCAGATCTCCCGGGGTTAATTATTTTAAATGTTTATCAAATGCTATTTTGGAAATAATTTTATCTCAAAGCAGAAAATGCTGTAGCTTGCTTGGAGTAGTACTTTGGGGGAGGGAATCCAGTATTGATTCTCTGGGACATCAATAAATAAAACAATAACTTGCTGCTAATTATTTTAGATAGTTTCATGGATTTTTAAAAGATGATACTCCTGTCCTAATGTTCTCTTTCACTAAAATATTTGTTGGCTTCGTAAATCTTAGTAAGTACTATAAATTTATATCATGATATCATTTTAGTTCAACTTGATCTGGGGAATTAGGGTTATGCTCTGCAAATGATAGTTTATACTTTACTTTTGTATAGGAGCCCAACCATTGGATTTATTTAGCAATTCAACAAATATTTTTAAAAGAAATAATGCAATTATGTATTAATAAAGCCAATTTAGGCCACATTAAACAAAAGAGAAGTTTTTTCCCCCTGTATTGATGTCTAGAAAAATATTTGGTGCTCTCCTTGAATTAATTTAAATATCCAGTTTGGGGGATTTATTTATTTATTTATTTATTTATTTATCATTTATTCAATTTATATAGCCATTTGTTATACATCTATATACATCTGGCCAAATGCCGTTTGCCCAAAGAAGCAGATAAATCAACAATATATTTATCTTACACTAGAGTAATTAAACTTTAGAACACATCCTTCTAAGAAAAGAAATGACTACTTATTGTATTAACAAGAAATAACATTCTGTTGAAATTAATGTTTTCTTATTTAGATTAGTCTGAGTTGTTATTAATAGTTTTGTGCTGGAGTGGATTCAATTTCTTATACAAAGCAATATGTTTTACAGGAAGGCTAACAATAAGGAGACAGGATTCTTGTCAACAATTATGATTATCAACTAGAATTTTTATGCACATATGTTCAGGCATATATAAATTGAATAATTAATTCAACTTACTTAATAAGCAAAATAAAAGGAAGACATAATGATAATTATTATAAATTAAACAATGTAGTTGGCTATGAAAGCCTATTGCAAAAGCTGAATGCAAATACAAATATATTCCTGGTTAGCAAATCATACCCAAACCAGTATTCTATTTACAGTAATAGAATCAAACATGTTTTACAAACTCTTGATAATATTCACAGTTTTACTATTGCAAAGTTGCCTTTACCATATTTTATCTGCAAACATTTATTAACTAGCAGAAGCATGAAGACATGTCAACAAAATAATTGAAATAAGTATTGCAATGAAATAAGATTTCCTTAAATATCAAGGAAGACAGACCCAAATTCTAGCCAAGGAAATGGTCTTCTTCTATTTATGTTTTTTATGACAATAGGAAATATAAAAAAAATCTTCTGAACAAAACATCTTTGTTATTGCGGGGATGACATTGTAGTATTTCTGGAGATCCCATTCAATGAATTGTTGTAGTGTTAAGTGAACACCCTTAAACTCAAATAATTGCTGTTTGTGTCAATATTTATTTGTAGTACAAAAGCACTCAATTTAGGTTTATTAATTTATGCCCTTCAGAAAAAAAATGTAGAATTGACAATATCGTCTGTAACTAATTATTCTACCTTCAGTGTCCACTATTTCGGCAGTCCTTGTAAGGTGTTTCTGTCAAGTAGTGTATTCCTCAAATGGAACCCTTGAACACTGTTTGTTCTATAAAGCTAAGTACTCTTAATAATATCAAAATTTAGTTTTTTTATTTAATTCTAAATTTATTGCTTGGTTCTTCCACCATTAAAGAAGATTCCTAAATGGTTTATCTTTCAATTGTATGGGTTTCCCCCCACAGTTTTTGCTAAGGAAGGATATTCTTTTAAAACTTATTAAAGAAGCATATTGAAAAAAGATTTATGAAGATTCAAGTTCGATTGCTTTATATTTTCAAGCATTGAGCCAGGGATGTACATGAACTCTAAATGCCAGATCAAGTTCCATAGTTCCACTTCAATTGTGTTCTCCAACACCTGAAATTGAAATGTATGGTTCTTTCCTTTTTCAATAAGCAAAACTCTGTATAATCAACAGCTATTGATAATTTTCTCCTCTTTTTTAGATTGGTGATCATCATCTACTCATAAATATTTCTATTTATTGTTTCTTTTGTGTGGAAAATGTAATTTTATTCCAGAATTAGATTTTCTAATGGTTCAGCTATTATATTTTTGTGCAAATTTTTTAATATGAGGCTTTATATGATGATGAAGGAAAATAATTTGTCACCATAATCATTAGTTCCTTGTTTAATCAAGTAAAATTGTGTCAACATTTTTGCTAATTATAACTTTCATTATGAAAAATGACAGTATCACTGTTTCAATTAGATCAAATAGCATCTTATTCGGAATTCTGTATGCATGTTTCTTTGCTACAAAATCATTTTCCCTATTGTTAGTTGCACCTTAATTCTAATGCTTAATTTATCATTATGTAGATATAATCTTTTACAGTTTAGAGATGTAGACATACGGGACAATCACAGAGAAACAGGGTATAGGTAGTCCTTGACTAACACCAGTTCATTTAGTGACAGTTCAAAGTTACAATGGCACTGAAAAAAGTATCATGATCATTTTTCAGTTACAATCCTTGAAGCATTCCCATGATCATGTGATCAAAATTCAGATGCTTGGCATTGGTTCATATGTATGACTATTGCTGTGTTCTAAGGTCATGTTCACCTTTTATAACCTTTTGACAAGCAAAGTCAATCTGGGGAAGCCAGATTCACTTAACAATCAGGTTACTAACTTATCAACTGCAATGATTCACTTAACAACTGTGGGAAGTAAGGTTGTAAAATGGCTAAACCTCACTTAACAAATGTTTCACAACAACATACATTTTGGGGTTAACTGTGGTCAAAACTGGAAGACTACCTGTAGTATCTTTCCTCCCATCACCATTGTCACAAAAAATGGCACAAACTACGATTACTATATTTTAATTTTTGCTGTTCACTGTAATTCTCATTATTTTCCCAGGGCATATCTTCCAAGATCCAAGCACGTACACTGAATAAAACCAGATGAGATGCTTCCTTCTTTTGCTGATTTCACTTGTTAGCCAAAACACAGAGAAAAGAATCCCTGGTTTATTTTTCGATAAGACCTTCAATTCTTTGAAGACTTTTTAAAAAATGAAAGTTGAGTTATCTAGTAGAGCATAATATTGTATGATGTCCTGATTATATTCTAACTTTGGTATAATAATTATTAACCAAACAAAATGTTGTATATAGACAAGAGAAATGAGACAAGCACCACAAAATTCCTATTCTTAGGATTAGGGAATCCAGTTGAACTGCAGCCTTTTTTTTTCTTGCTCTTCTTGGTGATTTATCTTGTGACATCAATTGGAAACATCATCATCATCATATTAGTGGCAGCTAACCAACACCTTCATATCCCAATGTACTTTTTCCTTGGGAATTTGTCCTGTGTGGAGATTTGCTATTCTTCGACTATCTTACCAAAAATGTTATCTGATGTATTCGGTGGAGACAGAACTATTACTGTTAGAAACTGTCTAATCCAATATTATTTCTTTGGCTCTTGTGTAGGCGTAGAAACATTTCTTCTTGCAGCAATGTCTTATGACCGTTATTTGGCAATATGTAGACCTCTATTCTATACTTCTCTAATGAATAAGGAAGTTTGTTTACAGCTTATAGCTGTAGCATGGATAAATGGTTTTATGGCTAATAGCATTATTGTCTTTCTGATAGCTCAGTTTTCATTCTGTGGATCTAATGTGATAGATCATTATTTTTGTGACTTAAGTCCACTGAAAAAACTGTCTTGCAGTGATCCTAGCTTATTTGAACTCATTGTTCTTCTCTTGTCTTTTATTTTTACTGTTGCTCCATTTTTCCTGACCTTCAGTTCTTATATTTGTATCATTTTCAGCATCATAAAAATCCAATCTATTATTGGAAGACAGAAAGCTTTTTCAACCTGCTCCTCTCATCTTATGGTGGTTTGTCTTTTTTACAGCACCTTAATCATTGTCTATATATTGCCAGACACCCCAACTCTGAGGCATCTCAATAAATTTTTCTCCATTTTTTATACAATCCTGACTCCTCTGGCCAATCCCCTCATCTATACTTTAAGAAATAAAGAAGTTCACCAGGCTTTAAGAAGAACTGTTGATAAGTTGAGAACCATTTTTTGAAGGCAACTAGACAGAAGATAAGAACACAAATAATGCCTAGCTGGATCAGATGTCCAGTCCATCTAGTCCAGCAGTCTGTTCTTCCAGTGGGTAACCAGATACACAGGGAAGCCCCCAACTCTCCCAAAATATGGCCTTCATATAGAACCACACTGCCATCAAGATTTTCCTAGCTTCCATGGAGCACTCACAAAGGGATAGGCCAAAGAGATTCTTTATCTTTAACTGGTAAAAATGTTGAACATATTTGCTAAACTAGGAATAGTTACTGTATGTCTTTGCAGCCACAACTGTACATCTCTGGTGTTTTGCTTGTCAAGGATGTAACAACTGTGATGAAGTAGTGAAAATGATTTTGACTGTAATTTTGTACTTTGTCCATTTTATAAAGAAGGGTAATATCAATGTTAAAATTAGTGCGCTGACTTTTTTTTAACAAAATGAATCAATTGAGAAAATACAACTTAATCAGGAATGTAATTGTATTTGGACTTCTGATTAATCATTGTAACTTGATTCTAATCAAAAATGATCTGTCTTGTAGATGTGACATTATATACAGTAGTTTAGAATGGAGAAGGAGGAATGAGATGGATTATATGAAACAAAGTTGTAAATTTCCTACCATAAGCACTGATTAAAAACAATCAAAATTAAACTTTCTTGCTCAAATATTAAAAAATATTAATCAGTAGAACATTTTGAAATTCTATTTTTTTTCAAGTTTCCAAGACAAAAATAAATAAATAGATTGAACAAAACTGGAAGATTTCCTTTTTATACCAATCATTTCAACAATTTAATTCATAAAATAAAGATGTTTAAAATAAAGATGCTAAAATATGGTGATTGGTTTTTGGTAAGGCATTGGAAGCTACTATCTTTAATAAAATTGGGATTTGTCATTGTAACATCTAGTGGAGGATATATATAAATGATTTCTTCATTATATTTTAACTGGTACACTGCATAAAGATATGACAAGATTGCTGTATGAAGAGAAAGCAAATGAGATAGGTATCACAGAATATATCCTTGTATGTTTGGGGAATCCTACTACATTATAACTTCTTCATTTCCTTCTTGGTGATTAATTTTATATATAAAAATTATATATAACTTTAAATAACAATAAGAACCAATACAAACTAAAGTAGAAAAAGAAAGAAAAGGAATAAATGAAGGAAAATAAAACTAAAAGCGCAAAAAAGAAAAATTAGAAGAAAAGGAAAGAAGAAAAAGAGAAAAAAGAAAGATATTAAAAAGTTGCTTCCAATCTTCTTCATGATGGTTGTAAGAACAATGATAGTTTAAACAGTTTTTCTATAAGATGGCTCTTTTTTTCTGTTATCTATTTCGTCTAATCATAAAAAAGGAACATTTTTTTTCTTTTATGCAAAAATTCCATAAGAAATTTAAGGTCAGTGTAGATATTATCTTTGTCATCACCACTAACCATTTCTGTTACAGCTATTGCCAGATGTTCCATCTTTGTATATACAAGCATCTTACTTCACTTACCATGCATAAAAAGATGTTCCATGACTTTTTTCTAACTCTTTATTCACCAATCCCAAGAGGAAAAGTTCTGGTTGCAACTGAATATTAATTTTTGAAATCCTCTGAATAACTGTATGAATTTGAGGCCAAAAATTTATTTCTTTTTTAATATGTCTACCAAACACATTATAATGACCCTTCTAGTTGTTCTCTTGATTTTATTTTATATTGGTAAAATTCTGTTATCTCATGATATGTTAAACATTTAACTTTGCCTATTATTTCTCACCCATAAAACACTTCTTGTGCTGACAACAACAAAAGTGTGGCTCTCAGCATAAGAACAAATGTGACCAGGATTTGTATCTATTCCATATTCTCTCAATTACAAGTCCAAATAATATAAAATTTGAAATCTACATTAACCTTGACTTCTAACAGGAATCCATGCCATCCAAATTTGAGATCTTGTTCTTCTAACTCTAAAAGTCTTTTACTTTTCAGAAACACCCATTCTTTTTCCACAAGCTGCAAAGTCTAATTTTAAACCAGATAGACCCAATCTTCTTTTTTCTTTTGCATCTTATAACACTTTTGTTATTTAACTTGTGACTTTTTCTAGTGCCATACAAACTTGGATATATTGTTTTATCTTTGTTAATGGTACTACAGTTGTCAAAATAGATATTGTCTGAAATAAAAAGATCATTCTAGGGAAATATATGTTTATCATAGAAATTCTCCCCAACAATAAAAACTGTAGCTTCTTTTAGTATGTTATTTTTAATTTTGTTCCCAGTTTTAACATAATTATTTTGAAACAACATACAATTAATATTTCTCATAGCGACACACAAATATGTAACTTTTTATTAATCTTAAAACTCATTTTCTTCATCAATTCTGTTTGATCTTTTTCATATTTCTTGTTAATTTTTGTCTTATGATTATTAATCTCAAAACCTGCTAGCAGTTTTCTTCTGAGTGGAATTCAAGGTGTTAGTTTTATTTATTTATTTATTTTGATTTGTCAATCGCTTACAAGATAATATATGTAAGTATATACATAGTTATGAATACATGAAATGGGTACATATAAGAAAAATAAAAGAAACAATAGGACAGGGAAGGTAGGCACATTGGTGCACTTATGCATGCCCCCTACAGACCACTTAGGAAAGGGGTGAGGTCAATAGTAGACAGTCTAAGGTTAAAGTTTTTGGGGTTTGGGGAAGAAACCACAGAGTCGGTAGAGTATTCCAGACATTGACCACTCTGTTGCTGAAGTCTTATTTCCTGCAATCAAGTTTGGTGCGGTTTACTTTGAGTTTGTATCTATTGTGTGCTCTTGTGTTGTTATGGTTGAAGCTGAAGTATTCATTTACAGGTAGGACATTGCAATGTATGATTTTATATACCATACTTAGATCAGACCGAAGATGGCATAGTTCTAGGTTTTCTAGGTCTAGAATTTCAAGTCTGGTGGCATAAGGTATTCTACAATGAGTAGAGGAGTGGAGAACTCTTCTTGTGAAATATTTCTGGATTTTCTCAACTGTCCTAATATCAGATACATAATGTGGGTTCCAGACTGATGAGCTGTATTCGAGTATTGATCTAGCAAATGTTTTTTTTTTTAAACAAATTTTATTCAGTTTTTCACATAAAAACAAAAAGCTCTTTTTAGTGGACAAGATATTTCTGGGCCATCACTTTTACATACAAATATGAAAATAGTTATACATTCATATATGCATACTTAATTCTATTATTACCTTTTCCATTCCAAACTTTCAGAAAAGAGAGAAACAAACAATTTAATCCTAGTCTCTTAGATTAATCTCAATCCAAACATCCTTTCATTTCATTTCAATTATTTCAAATATAATCCTTTGATATTTATTTTAAAAACAAATAATAACAATATATATTTATCTAATTTTTAAAAAGTTACCAATGTCTCTCCTTCCTTTTACTAGTCTGTATTAGCTTATTAATTTAAATAGTTCTTTAATCTGTCATTTTTTTTTCCATCACACATTCTTCCTATAAATTCTAGATTAATACAAAATTTAACACTAAAAAAAAGAAACAAGCATAGGTTTCCCCCCTTTTACTGCTTTGAGTGTGACACCTCAGTGGTTAAAATATACCTTTATTCCCTCATCTTGGTTCCCAATAAACCTTTATTTTTAAGTAGTTACAATAATAATCATTACATCTTTTCATTTGGATTCCGCAATATATCCCCCCCCCTTAATTTTATTTCTAATTTCAAAAAAATAAAAGGGATAGATTGACTATTTAATTCCTGGTCACTGATATTGACCTCATTTTTAAACATCTTCACATTCATTTCAATTATTACAATTTCTTCAATAGACCTTAACTTTTCTTTTAAAGATAAAAATAAAAATGTATATTCATCTAATAAGAGTTATCAGTATCTATCCCTCCATTAATAATCTATATTACCCTATTTTCTAAGTATTTTTTTAATTGCAAATATATTCTTGTTACCACTTGTCACCCTGCAGAATCCCCCTTTTAATTCATCAACCATTATCTCTGAAAAAACAATTTCTTTTTATCATTTTACTATTTCCGTGTTTCTTTATTTCCTGCAGCTTTCTTACTGCCCCTCCTCCCCCTCTTTTTCCCATATCTTTTCTCATTCCAGTTTATATCCCTCTCTTTCTTGATATCTTCCTTTCCCCTTTTCTGCTGTGCCTTTCTACCTCTCCTGATCTCACAGGTATTCCCCTTTATGATTATCTTCTTAAATTTCAACTTTTAAGCCTTTCTTCTTTCCCCTCGTCTTTGTAGTGTTCTTTGTGTTAATTGTCTATTTAAAATGGCTTCTCCTTGAGTCGACTCCTCCTCCTCTGGAGTTCTTTCTTCTTGTTCTTCAATCGCCCTTTCCATTTCTTCTAACACAGAGCAAAGTGATTTGCCTTTTTCCTGTAGTAATTCTCTCATATTTTTAAGTTCCATTCTTAATTCCCAAAGAGATATCATCATTACACACTCTTGTATTTTATAATCGTTGAAGTCCACAAAAAAACACTTTTACTTTCCTTCTTTCTTCTTCAAGTTTTCTAAAGTTTTTAATTGTTCCAACCCAGGGTCTATACCAAAAACATCAATCAATCCCACAGTCAGTCTTTCCTTGCTTCTTTCTTTATTCTGGTTCTGCTTTCACTTTCTAAAATTCTTACTTTGTTTCAAAAATTCTTTAACATTATATTGACATAAGTTCATACCGAAACAGGATGATTTCCCTTTTGTTTGAGTTTATTTGTCAAAAGATGGCACTCTCCATTATACAAAGTTCTCACCTTTCCTCCCTATTTTATTATTTAGGGTTTTTTGAACCTCAATATTCCAGCACAATCCAGTCTCCAATTTGTAAGTTTTATTATTATTATTTTTTGACAATCTTAAGTCCAGCTTTATTTTACACCTTTTTATTGCCAAAATATTTTAGTCCAATTTAATTA